ACAAGACATTTGCCTGGGCATTTGGGGGGCGGCGTTTTTTGCCGCCCCCTGAAAAATGCCGCCCAAGGCAAATGCCTTGTTTGCCTCGCGGCTAAAACGGCCCTGGCTGTGATGACTGCAAGTTAGGGCATTCTAGATTCCCCCAAAAGTATATGGCAATACCTGTACGGAAGGCTTTTAAAATTTGGAGATTAGGAAATCAACTAAATGTCTGGAAGGGTGAGGAGTTAGAAATTACTGGAAATGCATAATGTTTACAGACGTGAAGCAAGGTTTATTGGAACACATGGTTTTTTGCATGTGCCCTGCCATATTGAGAACATATCTGCAACAGTCTGCATGCACTGAAACTACATGTGCCAACATGGAAATTGTTGCCAATCTGGGATTTGCCAAAGAGAATGAGATGACACAATTTGTCTCTGGTAGTTCTCTACGTACTACCAGAGGTGCTAGAGCCTTAAACGTGATCGTCCGCTGTGTTGGGACAAAATGGTCATGTGGGACTAGCAACATCTTCTCCAAGTGAAAGTGTGTTGACTCTAGCTGGAGTGTTCGGTAGAGAGAAATCCTTACCACCTGCTTGATACATACTAAAAAACATGAAGATGGCCATTATTATATGAACCCACAGTGTGCTAGTACTGGCTTGCTAGCTAAAGCCGCATGGTGAAACAATTAATCCTTTGTTTGGTGACAGGTGAGGCCCTGCTAGTTGCCAAGTGGCTTGAGAGGCTCTATCTATGCATTGGCGCAAGGTGATTTGTGTGGCCACCAAGTGTTGTGGCAGGATGTTGGCCTCTCGGTGACTGTAACCAGAAAAAAGGGGAAGAGAGTGACAGGTGAGGCCATCTCTATATACCATGCGAGTGGCCCGATGGGTGTTTGCCTCCGAGCGTTGAGGCGGGGTGTTGGTCTCGCGGGACCACTATACGACAGGCGTAGATGCCAAGAAAGGAGAATACCTATTGGAAACCTATAGTCCCTAATTGCCAGTACGCTAAGGGGGAAACAGAAAATTTATGTATATACCACATGAGCAGGTGTATGTACCTGGTAGTATGATTAGATACCCTTACTGGTCGTAAGGGTTATTAATACCTGTATCCCGGACGGGTAAAACAATGTATGAAAATGGAATATAGACATTTAAAAGCGTATACCCATATGTGTGTTATGCAAGTTTAATAGAGAAAAGTGCTCCGTCCCAATGTTTATTGTATGCTTGTAATGCCCCTGTTTGAAGGAAATTAACTTGTCGGGAGTGTTATATCATGTGTGATATTGAATACAACTGTACCCCGAAACATGAGTGTAGTGAACCATGACTGGCAGCTGAATAACCTAATATGTGAAAATACATAATTGGAAGAACTTATATTTTAAGCGTGCAAACATGCAAATATTCCGTATTAGACTCTGGAATCCTGCATAGTGCTTTAAATAGTATGTGCATTCTTGGGTAAATGTATGCGTATTGTCAGTAAATGTAACTAAAAGCCTATGTAGGCAGGTATGCAGGAATGATTATATCATAGCAAGCATGAGTTGTAAGGAAGTGTTAGTGTAATTATAATGGGAATGTTATGAGGGGAATAACCATATGTCTGAAAAGCCTGTAGTATACCGTTTGACAGATAGGAGTCAGTATAAAAGCGAAAATGCTGTAGTTAGTTTGTTTGCTTATCAAGTGAAATAAAGTCTGAGAAACCCGTAGTATACCGATTGACCGGTAGGGGTCAGCAGGTTGGCTAAAATGCCATGGTTCGTTGGTTTGTACATGAAATGCAATAATGTCTAAGAGGCCTGTAGTACACCAAAAGACCGGTAGGGGTCAGTGTGTAGGCGAAAAATTTTATTTCGTTTGTAGTTTTAACCGAACAGATTTTAACCAAAACAGATTCTAAACAACAGATTTTACCTGAACAGCTAGGTGAGTATAAGGTAACGAAATAACCATGCAAAACGAAAGGAAACCATAAAGTCAGGACCCGTGCTGTGCTGAACGCCGTGGGAACTAATCCTGGCACGACAGGTGGGTCAATTTACGGTTTGTGAGTCCCTGAGACACCAAATGCGATGCTGACTGGAGAGAAAGCCACTGGATTAACGGAAATCCCTGCTGCAGGAGACCTGGACACAGCTTGGAGTAATAGACCTCATGGAGCAAAGGTGAAACCAAAATGGCGTCTTGTATGACCTGGAAGTGGATCTCATGCAAATGCTGACCTCAAACAGTCTATTCGTCTGACCAACAAAGGTAAGTAGGGAAAGGGGGAGTCCCTTTTATAGGTCTACAGCCCCTCCCACAACTTCAGGCCATGCCTTCCAATACATATATATTTTGTGTGTATGTTTGTATGTGTTAGTAAAGGTCTTGCAGTGTTTACCATCACACAAATCCTGCATATGTCTGTATGGGGTATATGCTCCCTCTTCTGGTAGCACAAGGTATCAACAGAGCATTACACATCTACCCAGTTGGTGCATGATGCATGACATGTCTTGCCTGGTAAGTTTTATAAATCTCAATTGGAGCAAATAAAATATAATGCTACAGTTTTGTATAGTTTGAATAAGTCTATAAAATATAACATCACAAAACATAAAAGTTTTTTTCAGTCCTTTTATTCAAGGATAACAAACAATCGCATTTCTACTATACATAAAAACTATCGAAGTACAAATCTGTACCTATCAATTAAAAAATATTTATAAGATATTTTTTATGTTGAAAGTTAAATTTAGAACCCATTTAAGCTATACATGTAATTTAGCTGGCACTGTTTTTCTTCTTTCATCATCAAATTCTTTCTCTTGTTCCATCCACAGGTTATGTAATTAGTTAGCAGAGTCCGATAAAGAACATGGATGGGTCGGCAAAATCTCTTTGGTAATGACCAGAAGATCCCCTGCTATTCACCCTATTTAATCATTCATGACAAGAAACCAAAAATGATTTATTATACATTTCCATTCCCTAAGAAACCCATTTGATGCTATTACCACACAGTTAATTCAAATCCTGCAGGATAACACCTCTAAACCCTTTCAGGGTTGCAGTTCACTAGAGAGAAGACAGCTATGCGGGGGTTAAAGAATGTCACACAACTATGTCTGTGGAATCAAAACAGCTTTCTGACCCTCTAAAATAAAAAGACAATTTCTTCAATATAGTGTTTAAAATCACTTAATAGAAATCTCATTCTGCAACAATAAAATGGCATATTTCTGAACTATTATACTCAGATTGCCACGGCAGAATTTTATTAACTGCCATATATATTTTTCCAGGTGGTGATGAAGCTGTCTTCTTGAGGAAGAAATACAATAAGCAAATTTTATGTTACAGAAATGTATTAACCCTAGAACGTTTGAACTTTGGCTACATGCAAGCTGCATGCAAGGGAATTCATTCACTATCAGAGTTATTTGCTAAAGTGAAAATTCAAAGTGAATTTCAAATTTAAGGTCAAAAAGTCAGTTTGTCTAATTTTGCCTTAAATGTGAAGTTCACATTGAATTCACTTTGCATTCTTACTTCAGTATATAACCCTGTACCGCTGTAAAATGCTAATTGTGAGATGTGTGTTTGTCAGTGGTTATTAAACTCAACTAATTGCAGCTTCTTGAAATATCTTTGTCAATTAAAGGGACACTATAGTCACCCAGACCTCTTCAGCTCAATGAAGTGGTCTGGGTGCCAGGTCCCTCAAGTTTTAACCCTGCAGATGCAAACATACCAGTTTCAGAGAAACACTTTATTATGCCTCCATCGCGCACATTGTCCATAGGAAAGCATTGGGAAATGCTTTCCTATTGACAGCTTGAATGGGCGCTCGGCACTTGCCGCAGATGCGCATTCGGCTCCACTGACGTTGGCAGAGGGAGCTGACGTCGGTGGGGGAGGAGAGGTGCTGGAATAAGGTAAGTGGCTGAAGGGGGTTTAACCCCTTCAGCGCCACTGGAGGGGGACCCTGAGGGTGGGGGCACCATCAGGGCACTATAGTGTCAGGAAAACCGCTTTGTTTTCCTGACACTATAATGATCCTTTAATTATTTGCTAAACTTGGATTATCTAAAATGAATCAGTCAATTGAATATTCTAGGCCAAAATAGCTGAGCTAAAAATGAATTTTCAAATTCCAAAAAGGAAAACTCCTTGGTCAGTTCCTGGTCTATGGAAAAAAAAACTTGCTTTTCCCAACTTCGATCTCAACTAAGTATTTGCTTTGCATTTACAAAAACATGAATTAATCAAACTGATGAAATCACCGATTAAGCAATCTGTGCTGAAGAAGTGATTTAGTCAGTATCAGTGCCTGACAACATTTAGAAAAAAAGACTAAAATGTATGGCACTGAAAAAGCACATTAACAATTAGTGCTTAGCATGATAATGCATATGAGAAAATGGGGATAAATGTATCTTTACTCTCTCCTGAGTTATGCGCGGTTGCACACACCTCATTGAATAAACAACCGGATGCTTTAATGAAATAATAATTGGAAATACTAACCCCTTGCACCTGCTCACATAATATTCAGTATATTTTCTAAATTGTTTCCTCCTGCCTGATTTCAGCATTCTATTCTATTCATTGTATGTTAGCATTATGATTAATAGCCGAGCCCCATGGGTCCTGCTCTGAATCCATGTCCCATCATGCACTGTGTTGCTTTGAATGATGCAAGATTTGTAATAGTTTCAAACATTTCTGAAACTGTTCTATTCCCAGAGAAAAGAGCTGCTATGGTGAATTTGCGCCAGGAAACTGTCACACAGTAAACCCTACAGATCATCCTATATGTTGCTGTTTCTTTTAGCTTCCAGTAATAGGTAACGGGTGTGCATAATGCTGATTGAAGACACAAATTGATCTTAATCTGAAACTATTAGTGAATAGCAAGAAAAGAAACAGACATCATATAACAATAGCATTGTTTGAAAGGGAAGTCTATACAAAGAGCCGTGCACAGATTATATTATTATGGCAGACAGCTATTCTCAAAGCTGGCAAGGTGTGAGACACAAAAAAAATAAAATACATTATTGACATGGCTGTAAAACAGAGTTTTAGCAGCTAGATGAGAAATTAAAATTCAGTCAGACTATTCTTGCGTGGGTAGGCAACCTTCGGCTCTTCAGATATTGTAAACTGCATCTCCCATAATGCTCTAACAACCATTATGCTGGCAACGCATCAAAAAAGTTGTAGTCCACAACATCTGGAGTGCCGAATATGTCTACATCTAAACTATGAATTTGGTAAACTAGTAGAAAATTTAGACAGATTTTATAAGTGAGATTTTGATAATCAGCTGTTTTTTCCCCCAACAATTATCTGTTAAGTGAGTCATTATTAAAGGGACACTCCAGGCACCCAGACCACTTCTGCCCATTGGAGTGGTCTGGGTGCCAACTACCACTACCCTTAACCCTGCAAGTGTACTTATTGCAGTTTTTTTTATAAACTGCAATAATTACCTTGCAGGGTTAACTCCACCTCTAGTGGCTGTCTAACCCTGGTCATCAATTAGACAGCCACTAGAGGGCACTTCCTGGTCCATAGCACAGAAAACCTGTGCTAGAGCGTCGCTGGACGTCCTCACGCTGTGTGAGGACCTCCAGCGTCTCTCAATTCCCCATAGGAAAGCATTGAAAAGCATTTTCAATGCTTTCCTATGGAGAGCTCTAATGCGCATTAGATCTCCGCGGCCGGCGGGCGGGATCAGTCTCGCCCACTGGCCGACGTAATGAAGAGGAGGAGCGGCGGTGACCAGAAACCACCACCGAGGGACATCGGCGGGGGTCTCAGGTAAGTGACTGAAGGGGTTTTCACCCCACCCAGCTACCGGGGATTGGGAGGGAGAGGGGACCTGCAGTGCCAGGAAAACAGATTGTTTTCCTGGCACTGGAGAGTCCCTTTAAGGTAGGAAAACTGATGATTCAAGAAATGAAATGCATCACAAAAGAAATCACGCTATCAGGACTTAAATTAATATCTGGTTATAGCTTGAAACTCATTTTCTCTAATCTGTGATCAGCCTATGAGATCTCTAACATCACAATTATACCAAGCTAACAGGATTTAAATTAATGATATCTGGTTATACCCTGAACCTCATCTTCTCTAATCTGTGATCGGCCCACGAGTTCTCTCACATCCAAATTATACTAAGCCTCCACCTTCTCTAACACTCCTTTCATTCTCAGCATCTAACTTCTCTAACACTCCTCCTCCTACTCTCAGCCTCTAACTTCACATCTTCTATTCTCAGACTTTTATTTTCATAACACCCCATTTATTCTCAGCATCTAATTTTTATAATACTCTTTTTACTCTCGGTCTCTATCTTCTCTAATACCCCTTTTATTGTCAGCCTCTAATGTCCTCTTGGCTCTAGTTTTAATTTAATTTATTAGAAGGGGAATACCAAGCTTCCACACAGATCAACTCCCACACAGGTCAGTTCTGCTAGGTGTTTTTATTTAAATAATATTTTTTGTTTGTTTTTGTTTACAACTTTGTCCATGAACTTTATCAATATTTCTGGGAAAATCTCAACAGTGCTAAAGAAAGTTAAACAATCTCCAATATTAGTTGAGTTACTTCCTGGTTTGGTGACAGCCATTGCAGAAGACACACATCTTCGTTATTTGCAGCAAAAGTAGGAATCTCCTTAACAAGTCACAAAAATAGTAGAAATATTCAATTATAATTATTATGTTAATGTGTTGTTTGTTTGTTTTTGCATTTATTTTAATAAATTGCATTATAAAGTGTTACGGTTGCCTCCAGGCTGGCTGGAAGTTGGACCGTAGAAAGGACGCTCCTAGCGCTCACCAAAGGACCATCAGCACCGTAGACACCATAAGTACTGCGTAGACCACCATAAGTACTGCAGACTCAACGAACCACCGCTGCTGGGCTAGGATCTCGCTGTCTGCTATCCACCCTGGACCTACGACCAGGCTCCAGGTTCCAGTAGGTGAACCTCTTCCTTCTGTAGAGCGAAGCAGGAACAGGAACAAGAGCTCTTACAAGAGCTCAGTAGTTAAGGGAGTATGAAGAGCATAGCAATCCCTGTAGTGATTATAGCTGTCCCCTACAAACATGAGTCAAGGCTGCAAGTAAGAGGGTCAAGTCATTCTGTTTATTGGCACACAAAGAACCTTCTTTTATGCAGGTTTCCCTGAGATAGGACCACCCACAGGGTTTTACACAACAACCAATAATAAACGTACCTTACAGAAACACTCCCAGCAATTACACACAAAAATCCTCCCCTCTGCCTGTGATCTAATTATGGTACACAATGGGTTAACATAATTAAACAGGCAGTAAAAATACAGTTTTTATCCATACACTGTAACTTTAAAACTACACATCCAATCTTCATAACATCCATATTTGGAATCAGCACACTTAAAACATAAACATAACCAAAAATCAGCCAAATCCATCCAGGGTTAAAAAGTTAGCTGGAGGTCCCTTTATGACCGAGCACATTTTCCTGCCCAAAACAGTTCCATAGATTTGGGCTGTGCGGTCGGTCTATTTCAGGCTGAAAAAAAGACTAAGTCCCATCGCCGAATGGGACTTAGTCTCTGCAGCTGTAAAACCAGTAGGGGAGAAGGAAGAGCTCAGCGGTGTTCGCGGAAATGTGTAGCCGATTTTAGTTCCATGAATTTGGCTACACATACCACTGACCTCGTTCGCATTAACAAAGATGGCCGCCGCCACGTGTTCGGCAAACGAACAAAGGCCACCCAGCATTGTCAATTAAGCTGCGGTTAACCGCAGCTTCTGGGAGGTAAATTGCCTGCAGTAAGCCCCATTTACTGAACCAAGTGGGAAATAGCCATGCACAAAGGGTTTTAACCAGGTCTGGGGACACAGGGGACACCGTCTTAAAGGGGCAGTGTCCCCAACAAGTCTGGGGACACCGTCTTAAAGGGGCAGTGTCCCAATCTTCCTGATGCCCCAAAAAGGTGCTTAAAGGGCCAGCACCAGTCCCATAAAAAGTCCATAAGCCCCAATATGCCCACCGACAGTCTTAAAGGGCCATACACACCAAATAAAAGTGCATACATTTTCACAGTCTCCAAGGGGCCATAGTCATGTGGAAGGAGGCTGGCAAATAGGCTTCTCCACAACCCCAGGAAGCAGGGCAATTTGCCATTTAAAGGGCCAGTTACAAATAGCAGTTTGTAACATAAAGTAAAGGTCATCTCTAATTTATAAACGAGCGGTCTCTGGTGCTTTAACATATTTGATACAATCTTCTAAATGTCAATATATATTGTAAATGTAGCCATTTTTATAGATACACACAATTCTTTGCTACACTATATTTTTATTCATTATTAGGTGCAAAAAAAATCTATTGATGACAGAATTATTTATATATCTTCATTTGTGATAATAGAACAAGGGGGAGGATGTAAGAAAGAGAAGAGGAAGGGAAAAATAATTAAAAATTACTATGATATGGAAAAGGAGTAAATCTATATATTATATCCAAAAACAGAGACTATGGGAACTCTTAGAATGGACAACAGCCTAGAGGAACTCAGCAGCTTGCCCTTCGGTAAATTCACGCTCAGGTCTCAACATAGTTTTTGCTCACATTATATCCCAATGCTGGTTAGATGAAACCATAGAGATAAATGTCCAATCTTATAGATATCATTGTCTCACCTCTCACTTAAATTTTATTTCTTAATGTTATTTTTGTCTAAAAACATGCTGCTCAACAATAGTGGTGTGTTAAATTCCTTAAAAATAAAAAAAACATTAAAGAAAATAGAGAATATAGCTGGCGTTACACATACCATACAATGCTCCCAACATTGTTAATTGATAGAATCAATTGATTAATGCTGAAATGATATCAAGTAGGAGTACATTACCTTGATTTATTGATATATTGAATTGTTATGTGCTTGCAATTTGTACAATGTACTGCCTGAGGTTTTATTGTACATTTCCTGCCCTCTTCCTCTATAAAATATTATTATAAAATAATCTGAAATAGGTTTGGGTCCAAGGAAGTCGCTAACACGGCTTTAACTTTAGAGGTAAAACTTATTAGGCCTGTATTTTGACACACTACATTTGAAATGAGCTATCTCTAACATTGTTACAGAAACTCATATTTTTACAAGATGTGCAAATACATTTTAAATCTTTGTATTTTCTGATATACAGTGTGTGTCTACCATTAATAATTACACTTTGAGTACACAGATTATCTTCACATTGCAGATAAAATCAGAGCAGACAGACTAGTAATTATTATAATATCTCTAACATAAGTAAAACTGCGTATTTGCTTACAATCCCTCCATGTCCAATTTTGTGATCAATTCTCTATTTTAAACTTCAAGTGGAACTGTAACTTCTCTATAATTTATACCATTGAATAAAACAATGACAATCATCTATAACTTGTGTTAACCTTTCTTTCATTGAGGCTCTCTTTTGTTTAAATTTATATTAAAGATTTAACAAATTACATCATAATCCAGTTCAGACAAGGCAAGGTAAGGGCAAACATTGCAAAAGAAAGACAGAAATCCAAACACTGCTTTAAATTTATTCTATTCTATATAGGCTTTTTCTATAGTAACTGCTAGGTGTAAAAGTACAGATATTATAACAGTGATTGACAGGGTGCTGAGATGAAGGTGCCTAGTTGCAATGTACATTAGGGATAGACAGATTAACGGTTCAGTCGGTTATTAGATCCGATATTCTGCATATTACCGATAATCAGTATTGATGCTATTAATCAGTATATTATTATTTTGGTATTTATATAGCGCCATCAAATTCCGCAGCGCTTTACAATGGGTGGACGAACAGACATGTAGTTATAACCAGACAAACTTACATGCTAGAGGGAGTGGGGTGAAATTACACAAAAAGGTAAGGATAGTATTAGACTAGTGACAGTTGCAGAAGAGGAATCAGTCAGGAGCTATTAACAGTTTAACTGATATGCTTTTATGAAGAAGTGGGTTTTTAACGATTTTTTGAAGGAGTGGAGACTGGGTGAGCATCTAATGGAGGAGGGAAGCCAGTTCCACAGGAACGGTGCAGCCCTCGAGAAATCTTGAAGGCGAGCATCAGAGGTGGGAGTACGGACAGAAGATAGACGTAAGTCTTCAGCAGATCATAAGTGCTTAGACGGGACATAGTAGTGTATAAGGGAGGACAGATAGGTG